TCATGGATGCGTGAGGGGTATGAGGGCGGTGAGTGCGTGAGGGTCATGAGTACGTGAGGGGTGTGAGTGTGTGAGTGGCATGAGGGCCGTGAGTGAGTGAGGGGCGTAAGGGTGGCGAGTGCGTGAGGTCCCCTTCATACGGAGCAACTTCCTCAGCAATTTTGGTGTCGCTGGTGAGTTGTTCCCTAGATCACCGTGCCCTAGATCGACACGAATTGCTGAGATCGGGTCCGGCTCGAAACAAGCGGGCAACTAGAAGCAATTCGAAGACGTATGAAGTGGCTGCATCCAATCAGGGACGCGATATTTTCACGTGATACCTCATGCCGCTGATGACAACAACAAAGGATTTAAGACTGTTTTGAAATTTATCGTTTTTGGAAATAAACTGTTTCAGAAAGATGCATTAGTATTCTCAACGAGATCTAAATGCATAAAAACATGTTTATAGCACGTAATAGTGTGTCCAAATAGTGCAAGAAAAATAAAATTTTATGATGACGGCAAATTGCAGCAATTGGTTGCTGCGTGCGAATGCGGGCGGCCCGTGTTGCAAAGTCAAGTTTCTGGGCGAAATTGCCCCATCTGAAGCGGGCTTGATTGGCATGAGGGCCATGAGTGCGTGAGGAACATGAGGGGTATGAGTGCGTGAGGACTGCGAGTGTGTGAGGGCCATGAGTGAGTGAGAGCGTCAGGGCGGCGAGTGGCGTGAGGGCCATGAGTGCGTGAGGGGTGCGAGTGCGTGAGGGCGGTGAGGGGCGTGAGGGCCATGAGTGCGTGAGGGCGGCGAGTGCGTGAGGGCCATGAGTGAGTAAGGCGCGTGAGGGCTGTGAGGTTCAGTGAAGGGCTGAAGATGACTGTGATTGTGAGGGTGAGTGAGGGGCTGAAGGTGAGTGCAGCTGTGAGGGTGAGTGAGGGGCTTAGGTGAGTGTGAGTGAGGGCGACCTAAAATGCCGACCTCTGGTCTGACTACAACAAAGAAAGCATGCTGGAAGTTTCAAATAAAGAAAAACTGAAATTCTTACAGAAACCGAAGGTTCACTGTGAGCAGAACTCCTTCAGTGATGAGGTGTTCAAATGCCTTAGCGTTATCGAAAACCAGGTCATCTGCAATGTCATTAAAAAGCAGTGCCAAGCAAAAATCACTAATTTCTTTCAAAATGTGCGACAAACTTGAGAGAAAAGTATCAGTAAACTCTTACTTGAGCAAACGTCGGTATAACGTATATTTCAGAATAACAAACTTTTAAAATATCCTTCGCAGTTTTACTATGCATTCTATGCAAAAATGTTGCAGTCAATTGAATTAACGAATTTGAAATAGCGAATATTTCAGTTCAACGAACTTGATCTCGATGGACCCAGGGTTATTTTTGCAATCACTTCAACAAAGTTTTGTGCTCTGCAGTGCTGGCATAGTTGATGCCCGCTGCTCCGTCGCCGCGCTCAATAGGAAAAGCGTCAGGACCACCCAGTGTCTCGTTCGCGGACGTTCAGTGCACCTGGTGCGAATCTCGAAGGCCTACAGAATGAAAGGACGAGAACATACCTGGACATGTTTGTCGCTACGCGAATGCCCAATTGCCTTCAACCAAATAGAATTCAGCTTGTCATCTTTCAGGGCGACATGGCTGCTGAAGACTCGCTGTCGCGATCACTCATCAGGCGGCACTTTACAGAACGACGACGCCTCTTTACAGGAACTGACATCTCTAAAAAGTAGTCATTTGCACGCGCGAGAAAAAAAAAAGCATGCTGAGAAAGCAAAGAAAATGCATTACGAAAGAAAAGAAAAGTAACAATCCGCGCTATGAAAGCCACAACCCCGCGTCACTTCTAATCACTAACACCTGCGACAGCTGCTAAACACACACTACTTCACTTCAGGAAGTCTCACTCAAGCGCCTGCGTCAATAGGAAACACCGATCACTTGAACGAAACGACTAGTCGAGGTAGGCGAGACAGGCGGGAGCAGAGACAGCGGTGGCCATGCTTTTGTTTCTTATGGTATGAATCCAAATGGAAGTGCCCGTCTTGTAAACTTTTAGGGGCGAAGCTCCTTAGGGTCTAGCCTTGTCCGTCCGTCTCTCCGGCCGGCGTCCGCGCTCCCATAAAAAGAAAAAATGTTTCCGCAGTCGACAGGATTCGAAACTGTGCGGGGAGACCCCAATGGATTTCTAGTCCCTCCGAGATGTGGTAGTAACTCAAGAGCTGGGGATGTCATGGATGAAACGTTGCATGTCAACGTCTATACAGGAGAGGGTGCTGTGGTCAAATGCATATATAATCGCGTTAAACTTTGCATGCATTGGCTCAACGTTTATAGACGAGAGGGCGCTGCAGTCAAATGCGTATATAACCATGTTTCATACCACACATTCTCTTTCTGACATGGACCGTTGACTTAAGCGGTGGAGATGCGTTCCCACGGCTTCTAGCGGATCCAAGCTGACCCGCTAGAAGAACCACTGGCTCTGCATTTCACCGACCATAAAGCAGTAATAACGAAATCGAAACGCAAACTGGAACTCAGCACTACCTATGAGCAATAAAAAAAAATCAACACCATCAGCACTACCTATGAACAATAAAATCAGTATCATCAGCACCACCAGAGCTTCGTCCCAATCAACATCATTCACCACGTGGAGATGCAGTAATTTTTTTTGTAAAGAATAACTCTCATTACATAGGTTATCCTTCAAACCTAAAAATATGCTGCTCAAGAGGAAATTACAACATATCACAAAGGTTTAAACGGATGCTGAACCCAACTCTGGATCCCACAAAACACGGCGGCAGAAGCGTGCAATGTGACGCTACAAAACCAAAACATCACTCATACAGCGATATCTCGAACGGATGACCATATTTTTTTTAAAAAAAAGGAGGTACATTTGATGGATATGTTGACGTTTCTCCGAGAAGAGTCAAGAAGGAGAGGAAACGGCCTCGTGTTTTCTCCACCTCGCCACCTTGAGATGGCAAAGCGAAGCGAGGAGGAAATACGACATGTTGACGTCACACGCCTGGTCGGCCTCGTTCAATCTCAACCTTTTTCCAAAAACACGGCTGTCCATTCGAGATATTGCCTTAAGAGTGGTGTTGTAAAGATTGTAGCGTCCCGCCTGCCGCTCCTGCATTATTTTCTGAAATCTAAATTTCGGTTCACCATCCCTTTAACAACCAACATCTAAGCTGTCAGTCAATTTCTTAGCCAATGAGAAGAGTTACTATCGCACGTCACTCCGTGTTGTATAACAGCCACTCCGTAACGTATAATACCAACTTTGCGGCGCGCGATTTAAAACGGACAAAATAGCCACAAACTAAAATCAGTCTCGCACAATTTCTGAAAAAAAATTTTTTCGGAAAACTTTTTTTGCGGCATGCTTGTCTCAATTAGGCTGCTTAAGAAAACACTTTTTTCTTTGCAGTTACCCTTTAAATAAAAAGCCCTACATTTTTTTTTAAACACTGGTTGGGACACACGTGTTAAAAATTAATTTTATGCGAAAAAAATAACTTATAGCAATATTGACAGCGCGAGACGCGGCTTAGTCGGCAGCCACCTTTTTCCACTTGTTTCCTTTTTCGGCATTTCGGGCACGTGAAGGAGGTGGATCGGCTTCGCCCTCACGATCGAGCAGGTCAATCCAGAATGACCTGCGACGTCATGGACTTCGCGTGCAGAATCTCAAATAAATTTCCCGCCGTCAATATTGCTCTAAAGATGTTTTTTTTTTCCCGTGTGAAATTTATTTCTTGACACGCGTGTCCCAACCACAGTGTTTAAAAACTTTTTCATTTTCTTTTCAGGGGTTCTTTAAAGGGCAACTCTGCTCAATTCCCAAAAATTCAGGATTCCATGCGATTCCATTTCACAAAGCACTACTAAACAGCTCTACGTCTTCGGACTCACGAAATGTGGAATATTATTTGTGTAATCTTAATTTAAACATCAGCCGATACCGAAACCTAAACTTTGGTTGCGTCACGCAACATTAGACTCGTGTCGTCAGAGTCATGGCCACGCCACGTCAAACCACGCGGTCTTGTGACGTTCGTGGGGGCGAGGGACAGAACGCGCAACGCGGCCAGGTGTTACGCGGGCAGGTCGCTTCGCATGGCGTGGACGGTGATGGCCCGGGGGAGAGGGGGAAGGGGAGAAGACGAAAGAGGAGAGGGAAGTGGAGAAACAAACCGATAAGCGCGCAGTGCAGCGTAAACTAGCACATCCGCGTTACAATGATCACGGGGACGCTCTTGAGCCAACACCGGGAGGAGAAACTCATGACGTCATTGTTCAATTTCGATCTGTGAAGTAAAAACAAACAAAATGTGAGAATGACATGGTCATGCCTCTGACGTAGCGACTCAGCGTTGGCGGCTCCAACTCCGTCGCATTGACTGCACCGACGATTGCGCCTCATGTAGCACGCTAGAGTTGGCAGATTTCGGCGACTTGGCTCATTTGAAAGTTTGCTGGCCAGTTTATTAAATATATAGACAGCATTAGACTGTAATATTTGACATGGGGTCTTTCTATATGATACTGAAGAGGGCTACATAGTTTTCTAAATATCAAAAATGAAACGGAGTTGCCTTTTAAAAAAGAGGAATAAAAAAGTAAGTTTTGAGCTAGCGCTGTGTCTGTGTCCCCCTTCTGCTCGTCCATGCATTTTTTTTTATTGTGCTGTTTTAATGATTCTGAGAGGCACTCTTTAGCTGTTAGTCAAGAATGGTAAGGGTTCCACAAAAATTGAAGGCTTTGAAAACACCTGCCCGAAAGAAAAGCTAAAAAAAAAATGCAAGTATGATGTTGCCATTGCCAATTTATCCTAGCGGTTTCAGATTGCACCTGAGCCAAATAGAGGCCTGACAATCGAAAAAGTCAGTGAGGTACCACTGACAGCTTCTCGGTTTAGGACAAATGGGCCATGTTAGCTTACAAATGCAACTTGATCTTTCAAGTAATAATAAAGCATTGTCAGTGTACCTCGAGCTGGTATGAAGACTTTTCATCACCATCCGATTCCTTCGATGTCCTTTGTGTCTTCGTTGGGGGCCCAGCCACTATGTTTAAAATGCTTGTGAGGCCTGCAACATAAAAAAAATTAGGGCATTAAAGACATTATTAAATTATTAAAATACATTAACTCCAACTTAACATAAAAGAGACATCAACAAAAATACAGGCTGGAGTAAACATTTTTAATCATGAATACTTCCAGCTTTTGGAACAGTTCTGTGAATATTATTGTATTTACTCGCATAATGAATGCACCCCCCCCTCTTACCCCCCCTACCCCCCCCCCCCCCCCCCCCCCCCCCCCCCCCAAAAACGGGTACTGATATTTGGACTTTGCTTTTTTCCCCTCGCATAATGAACGCACTTCCAACTTTCGGCTCTGCGAGTTTCGAATTGCGTCCAATTTAGCTAGCTACCAAGCCAATTTTCTTTTGCCGCCAAGCGGTCAGGCCAAGTCAAGCCAAGCCGCTTTCGTAATGGCTGCAAGTGCGTAGTTGCGAAAGTGATCAACCGTAAAACAGAGCGGCGCACACACTTGACGAAGCTTGGGTCGAGGAATTGCCCGGCCCCAGACATTCTTTGCCTATCGGATGCATTGATATACACAAACACGTTGCCGTCGTCTGTGGTCCGCTTTCGGACAGTTAGCGAAAGTGTTTAGGCCTAAGAATGGTTGTGTTGCTCTCCGTGTTGAGTGAGATTCGTAGGCCGCTTTTCCTTTGGCAAAAAGCATGCCAAAAGTGCCCTAAAAAGGTTCTAAATTTATAAAGTATGGTTACTGTGGCGCACCCCCGACCAGCCATGGGTGCGCCTCAATCAGTAAAGACATGCCACAGTACCTTGCCGTGTCATATTGGCACCTAGTATGACATTTGCATGAAGTGTGTAAATGAAAAAATTTTACCCTTGTAATGAACGCACTCCCCCAATATGTGCCAATTTTTCGGGAAAAAAAGTGTGTTCATTATGCGAGTAAATATGGTAAATGGAAAGGATATGAAAGAAAACACCGAATCTTCACAGCAAAGAAAGCAGTTGCAGTTGAAAGGACAAGCAAGTCTGTCTTGCAGCAATGCTTAATTTGTTCAAATGCTTGTCAGATTTAGTTATTGATATGTCTGCCACCAATCTGTTTTGTAAAGAAAACCATGAAACAACTAAATCTTGAAAGCAACACCTGCCCATATTTTAATGTTTATTAAAGTGGCCCCAGAAATGACGGCCCAACGATCGTAGCATCTATGCCCCGTCATTTTACGGGAGGCCGCGTCACAGGAAGGCTTTTATTAGCTAAGTGCGTATTATCTCCCAGATTACCAAAAGTCTCAAAATTAGTGCCTTCTGAAGCCAACAAAGAACATACCTCGGCGAAGTCACTCACGAACTCGCTCACTCACACTCACTCACGCTCACCGCGTCATGGTGAAGGGCTGTGAATGACTTCGTGAACTCGGACGAAGTCGTGATGTGAAGGGGATGTGATTTCGTGAACGCGGAAGGAGTCGTGATGTGAATGGGCGTGACTCCGTGAACGCGAAAGAACTCGTGATGTGAAGGGAATGTGACTTCGTGAACGCGGAAGGAGTCGTGATGTGAACGGGCATGACTCCGTGGACTCGGAAGAAGCTCTGATGTGAAGGGGATGTGACTTCGTGAACGCAGAACGAGTCGTGATGCGAAGGGGAGTGACTTCATGAACTCGGAAGGAGCCGTGATGTGACGGGGAGTGACCTCGTGAACTCTGACGCACCCGTGATGCAGTGGTGAAGGACTTCGTGACTCTGGTATATACGTGATGTGATGGTGAATGAATTCGTGAACTGAATTTGTGATGTGATGGGGACTGAGTTCGTGAACTAGGAGTCAGGACACAGGAGATGTCGGTATGGATTTGCTTGCGTGTGCGTACTCTTCGCGACTGATAGCCGACTTGACATTTGGCAGTGTCTGCAGCATGTTGGTGCCCTTACAGACGGAGCAGAAACTTGGAAGGAACTTCTGTTATAGCCCAGAACAAGATTCGTAGGGGTGGTCGGTAACGTTTGGGGGAAGCAACTGCAGGTGGCGTTTGCTTTGGAGGACTTTGACAGAGGATGTGACATTTTGCGTGTGCGACTGTGCGCGGCTTAAGCGCTAAATCGGAAATGGGGAGGGGACTGTGTATCGCAGACGAAGCGGCACCAGCGCTTCCCAGATGGGGTTGGGGGGGGAGGGGAGGGGGGGATGTTTGGACCGGCACAGACTCAGCGGCGACTCCAACGAGTTTCGCGGGCCTCCGCTCCTCTGCCCCGATACTGCGGGCGTGCGTACCCGCGTCGCGTAGTACATGTGCAGCTTAGCGAACGTTAGGGGGGCTTTGTCTGTGCGCGGCAGACGTTTGAGCCTCCTGCATGGCTGTGGGGTTCCGTTTACGCGGCGCGGCTTGGCGGCTCCTCCTTTCGGTGTGTGTGTCATTGTGTGTGGGGGTCCGGGGAAGGTGTCGTTTTACCACTGTGCTATTCTGCCACGGGAGGGTTTCTCTTCGCGTTGATTGCATCTGCGTGCGTCCGTGCGCCCATGTTTTTGTCTTTTGTAAGCGCGTGTGTGCGCGCACCCCTCAAGGAAACACAAATAAAACCGTCTTCCCGGAGCTTTTACGCGAGTACTGGTGGACCCTAACTGGACTATGCAATGTTTGTTTTCTCGCTCTCGCTTAATAATGCTTAGACATATTCTATGATGCTGGTAATATGCGGCATACGCTCGTTTTTATCCGTCCACACGAAAAAGCGTGCGCTGGATTTGATCTGTTTCGGCCGCTTCCGGATTTTTTCAAACGCTATTTAGCATCTAGGATCTCGGGATGGCTTGACGCTATTCTAGAAAAATCACGGAAGTTTACGGGCTTCATCCATATTCCAGAGAATTATGATAATTTTAAAAATGTGAGGAAACAGCCGATTGGCACCATGGTTTGTCGCTTACGTTTCCTAACAAGCGCGCGGACATGTCCGTTGCAATAACAGGCGGAGATGATTTTACGTCCTCTCAGGCGTTTAGGTGGGGGCTTCGCTTGCTGTTGCCGATAATAGTTTTCATCACAGTCTTGCATATTCCTGAGTTCTTGAATTCTAGGAATACGAACAGAGTTCTTCGATTTCCGTTGAACGTGAATATTGACTAAAGAGGTTTTTGTTTCTGTTTATTTGAGCAAACGTCAGCTACTGGCACCATACTTGTGTGTAAAAGCCGGACCCCATAAGAAAATATGCGACGAGCACGTGGCGAAACTCAATCCACTAAGCAGCCTATAGCCTTACTCCGTGAACAGCGTTTCGAACGCGAAGGCGGAGTACGAGTGTTCAAAGATTCTTGATAAAATGACATAACTCTTTTCCAAGGGAGGAGACAGATAGTCCGTCCCCATTTCTGAATTTACATCTTTTTTTTATGCTAGCTAGTTCTGCATACGAACCATATCGGCCACATTTTGCTGGAGTGCTTTTCCATTTGAAATCGAGACCACTCTTCTTACATAAGCGCTTAGACATTCGTCTCCTCGTTATTTTCCTGAGCAAGTGACTCATTCAAAGGTCTGTTGAGTTTTTTCAACAGCGTCGGAGCGATACGAATAATTTTCACTTCGATCGGAAGTGAGAGGCCATCACACAGGACCACAAGCAGACCGCGATTGCGTTGTCATCACCGTCATCCTGCTGTTGCAAGCAGGCTACCAATGAAAAACAAGGTGCGCGGTCGAGGTCGAAGTCAAATTCGAAGTAAGTGTTTATACGACGTGCAAGTAGAGGTACCAAAACGTGTCTTCCGCGCTTGCGAACGTTATCGTGACCCATTGAAAAGAAGTAAATACGAAGAATGGCATAACAATCAGCGGGAAACATAAAAAGCGCGCACAGAACGCGCGAAGACGAGACAAAAAAGCGCGCGCCGTCATTGGTCAAAACGAGGTGTAAATAGCGGTACGTCAGAGCGTCTGAGAGGCAAACAAACACACGAGGTGCGCAAAGAGCTGAATGAGCCTGTTATTTTTAAAACATGAAAAACTATTGAACCGGGCTTGCCGCGTTCCTTTAAACTTTTTTCATGCACGTCGCCGTGCTGTTCTGGGGCACGTATCGTCGGTTCACTCAAAGAGCTTTTACTTTCCCAGGCTCTTTAGTCCCTGGCAGTGCACCTTCTTGTCAGATGAGCCGGCGATGTCCAGTTTTTCTGACAGGCTGTGTTCCCCGTCTAGAAGTGTGGACGAGCTGTTTACCCGTTCTCCCATCTTGCATTTCCCACCAGACCTTGTTCCAAAATGACCCTTCTTTTGTAACAAAAACAAAATTAAGAACCTGCCTCTATCCATCTCAAATACTATGTTTGATGTTCACTGAAGACGTCCTCACTGCTCTGTCTGCTTGAAGAAATCACCGGTTATCAAGGGGAGCTGAAGGAGCGAAGACGACCTCTGTTTCCCTTCCCTTCGAGGATAGTTAGCTTGCTTCTCCTTGCTAACGTCGTCTTTAATTTCACTAGAAAAACGATAAACGGTAGGGAGTACTTGTAGACGGTTTTTGTGCTCGGTAACGATACCCAATAACGATACTATGCATGCACAAAGACGACAAAAGAGTATCGGGATTATTGGAACGATACACAAAATTCCCTAGTTTCTTAGACGTGTAAACAGGAAGTATAAGCACTTACTTAATTTGTCTCCAACACGCTCGTTGTGTTTCAAGCTTGGGGTAAGCTTTTGTGTTTCAAGCTTGAGGCAACCTGTAGGTACAAAGTTTGACCTTGCCAACTGTAGGGAAAAGTTCGCTGTTCGGGTTTTTCCTTTTTCGACCTTTGTCGACCCGTTGTGACCTGTTCTTTTTTGTTACGGGTTACGTGTGGAGTCTGTCGGTTTTGATTTTAAGGAGCCTTTTGGTTTTTGTTTTAAGGAGCATCTCTGTTACGCCCGACGCGCCACCACCGCGCCGTGACGTAACAGAGATGAGTTCATGTATAGGTGAATATGTCGCCGAAATTATGTTCTGGCTATACACGAATCAACGAACTCATCTCTGTTACGTCACGGCGC